TTTGGTGATTATTAATTGTTAGCTTATTTTTCTGATAGTTATCCTTTGTTAATTTGTTTTTATAACTATTAATTGCATAGCTTTTATTTCCATTTGAAAGTTAATATTTAGCTTGCTTTCCTTTGTTGATTACTAATTTTAATGGTCATTGAATTTCCTACATATTTCAACATTTTTTTAAATTGTCAAAGACAATTTAAACACTTCTATCTTATTTTAAGATTGTCAGAGACAAGACAATCACCGACAAAGATGTTCATGCTGTTAAAGCGTGGAAAATTTTTTAAATGTATATATATACAGGGTTATTCATAATTCCCTCCGGGGTTTCGAAGCGTTATAGTAAAAAAAGGAAGACGAATATGAAGACAAAGAAACATATGAAATTATTCCGAAACTATTCATGTTTTACTTACATATATTACAGATGTTCTATGTGTGAACTCTTGGTCACACGGCATACATCAATGCGATAGTCCAGTTCCTGCCCGGAGGGAATTATGAATAACCCTGTATATATAAATATTATACATATATATATACTTTTCTTTAATTTAAACTTAACTCGTAATAAAAAAAAGTATTATAATTTTTATTGCCTCGTTTCTAATATTTGGAGGCGCACAAAAGTGCCGCGGCACAGTGGTTGAGAATCACTGCCTTAGAGCATGGCATAGAAACCATCTATTCGGTTGTATTTTTACTAAATCCGCGATAATAAGATCTATAATTTTGAAAACCAGAATTTCCGGTAAACCGTTACCATATGAACGGAAATCTTTACCATATGAATGATTTAAATACAGTATATCTTAGTTTTTTTTAAATCAGAATTATGGTTTTATTTTACCTGAAATGTCTTTACCATAGAGAACGGCAATTTTCTCCTCACACTTTTTTAAGAAATAAATGCATAAATAGTTTTCTTTGTTAGGAGTACTTAGTACTTTAATTATAAATACGATACTGTTAAAATTTTTCAACAATATTACTTTAAAAACAATCAAATCCATTTTACAATTTTGAAAAAATTAACATATTTTTGAATAGAATTAAAAAACACTTATTTATTTTATTCTTTGCTTAAAAGGTGCCTTAATGTCTTAAAATGATATTAACTAAGCTTTAAAAGTTAGAAACCGGATGCAAAAAACCGCTTCTGTAATTTGTAAGCATTTGTTTATTTTTCTTTAAATTTAAATTTTTGTTATTGTAAGTTATTTTAAAGTAGTGAAGTGTTCAGCAAATATCCACTATCTAAATCATATGATGCATTGCAAAATCCTTTTTGAATATTACCCAATCGATAAACTTTTTATTCATTGCACGTTTTCATACGAAAAATTCTCCAAACTAGAATAAATTCTTTATAATTCAGACTTTATCGCCCATAAATGTTCAAACTAAAAAACTTTCCAAGACTAGATTAAAGAAAAAAATACTCTCAAAACGTGAACAGATTCTAAAACGCTGAATGTATTTTTTTAAACCAAATTTTTTGCGCTTCATGTCAAATTAAACCGAGTTTACGGCCTATCAAATGATGTAAAACACTTTAAAAATATAATTGACGTTTAAAAATATCTTGAATCAAATATTCTTCAACTCTTTTCAGAGAGAGAGAGAGTGGTAATATATTTAAAATGTCAATTTACTTATTTTAAATTGAAAACATGACTTTTTTTTAAAAAATGCATTTGTTGCAGATTGTTTTTCTTGAGTTAAATGAAAAGTATTTATAAAGTAGTATTTAAAAGTAGTAAAATTAAAATAAACTTTAGTTTTCAATGACATATTTAGATTATTTCGTTTCGTGGTAAAGCTCAAACGAAGTATTCCTTAATCTACTGCAAAAAAATATAATCAGTGCTTATAATAATCATAACAATTAACTCACAATTATAGCTTCGTACATGAGCTAGTTAAATCTCATTTAAAAAAATACAACTCACTTAATAATATTACACTCAAGAAAAAGTATAGTCAATGCTACCAAAATATGTTAAATTTACCGTTTCTCTGGTTTTATGGGAACACCAAAAAGCTTGGCAATTTTCCCTGAAGCGCTTTGATAATAAATTAAGGTTTTAAAATCTGTGTTAAAACTTGATAAATGTGGTAAAATTTGGTAATTTTATCACAATACCATAGAGGCATGGTATAGAAACCATTTATTCTGTTTAATTTACTTTTCAGTTTGTATTATTAATTAAATATGTGGTAATAAGAACTATAATTTTGAAAAGAAGAATTTCCGGTAAACTATTAGCATGCGAACTGAAAAATGAGCAAACGAATTGTTTAAATATAGTTTATTTTGGATTTATTAAACAGAATTATGTTTTTCTTTTTACCAGAAAAGTTATTACCATATCACATGGTAAGGTAATTTTATCAGACTTCTCGCCGCGTGGAATTGTATAAGATCATTAAATAATTTTGTCGTATAATTTTAAAACTCCTTTATCCGAAGATTTTTCTACATAAGTATTTATATTTCTTTATTTTAATTATT